TAAATTAGAAGTCATCTTTTCATTTTCAAGAAAGAATGAATCACAGATGTGCCACTTCTAAATGACTTTCTACAGGGTCATTTTCTACTTCACAGAAAAAAAAACACACTGACTTTGATGATGTTAGACAATGATGGACACAAACGCACAGCAAGGAAACGGGCTAATGTGGCTAAGGTGGTCTTCAACAAGCATACGTGATAAATATTACAAATTATCAAACTGCTCTTACTTCAAAAAGCAACTTTACAATAAAAAAAAGTCTTTTTTGTTTGTGTTTTGGAGCCAATTTGACCAAAAAAATGTCGGAGCCACAAAATTTATTTGGGCCTTATAATGAAGGTGATACAGCCTATTAAGTATGAATTAGCCTATCAACATCACTAATAGGTGTAAATAATTAAGATCATTAACCACATGAGACTACTCTGCAATGCCATATTTACTACTGAACTACTAATGTTGAGGGCAAAGCTCTTCTGTTTTCCTCAGCTGCACATCGCAATCGACCTTTAGGTCTGTAAAAACAATATTCTGCTTGTTCTGGAAACATCTCACCACATTACTTTTTTCTGTTGTTTGCTAATTTCTCATTGTGGTTCAAGCGTGAGAGGAAGTCAGCAGCATTAGCACACAACTCTGTCCAAACACACTGTTAAAGTCTCTGTTTTTCCTCCCTGGATTTTCTTTTTGTGGATTAGGAATCCACAGCTAGAGGGACTCAGGACCAGCCATTTATTTGTATACATCCATGTGATCCACCAGTGTTGAGGTATATCAAAACTAATAGAACGTGGGTAGCTATGGACATTTTAATTGACAAAATATGAAAACAATTGGTAAAATTTAGGTTACACGTTTTTACAGCTGGATAAACATGAAGAGTCATGTACAGAGATGATAAATAAAGTCAAGAGATTGGACTCACTGCACAGATTAGCATGTCTAAACTTTTGGATGCTAGTGTATAATACAAAAAATGAATAAATAATAGCTTTTCCACAATCACATGAGCCAAAGACGGCTCCATAATCACAAGTGGTCTACTGATACAGTCTATTAAATCTTATTGTCGAATTAAAAGAACAACATAACTAATCAGTGTTTAAAGACAACCTCGTCTTATTTCAGTCCATTGTTTCATGTTGATTCCAGCTGTGTCTATTTTAAAATTCCAGATTGTTTATTTTACAGTTTAATTCTTCCTCAGTGGCCATTACATTTCAGAAGACACGTTTCATTGTGACATTTCATCAACGGGGCTTTAGTGCTTCTGTCTGCTGCTTTACTCAGATAACTCGCATAACCGCCGCTGCCATGTTTGTCCTGAATGACTGACAGAAATGCTCAAGAGGAAAAATTGTGTTATGAAATAAAAGTGGGGACAAAAATGACAAGCAATTAAGTCGAAATGTTTGTCAAAATTACATGTTGATGAATTCATTATCTAATGTGGGATTCGTTCAAGATGACATTTAAAAATTCGATGGAAGCAAAAGATGACGGGAGATGCTTCACAACTTAACTTTGTAAACGTTATTTTCAAACATATATATCTGCTATTGTGTATTCTTAAGTAACTTCAGGGTAACCCCCTGACCGTGGCTCAGGGGGTTGGGAAGCGCATCAGTAACTGGATCGATCCCCGGGCTCTCTGTCCTGGTCGTTGTGTCCTTGGGCAAGACACTTTACCCTACCGCCTACTGGTGTTGGCCAGAGGGGCCGATGGCGCGATATGGCAGCCTCGCTTCTGTCAGTCTGCCCCAGGGCAGCTGTGGCTACAACTGTAGCTGCCTCCACCAGTGTGTGAATATGAGAGCGAATGAATAGTGGTAATCCATTACTGTTATTAATCACAAAAACTCTTCTGTAAAACCTGATTTCTTACAAATCCAGTTGCTTAATTGCTGAGTCCTGAATGCTCAAAGCTCCCACTAAATATGAACTTCCCACAGTTCACATGAAAAGAGTAAATAGTGAATAACTATTTAATTAAAATGTAATTCTCAGCAGCAGCCGGGGGGAAAAACACATTCAGTGCATTAAATATTTAGGAATATTAGATATAACATGTTTCCTATGTTGGTCAGAGTGCGTCGACTCTTTTGTGACATAAATACACGAGAAACTTAGATTTTTAGCTCAAAGTAAATTTACTTAGCGCATAATATAAGTATTATAAATTTAGCCATAATTTCTGAAATGCATTTAAGATTTAATAACTACTGTCCCTTCAGATGTGTGACCTCCAAAGTCATAGCTCGACTTAGCATTACATCACATCACATCCCCTCTCTTACGGTAAATGTCGATAGACTGCAGTGTGGGTTGGCTTCAGGGAAGCTCGAGTGCAAATTGCTTCTGTTAATGGTTTGACATTTGTATAGTAGCTAAGTAACTCTGCGGGGTACGAGACAGACTGCAGCCAGGTGTGAAGCTCTTAATATAACTTAAAGACTAACACATGATGTGGACCATGTGAAATATATAAGATTAAACTGCCTGTTTGTTAATGCTCTTTTATGATACTGTTTTAGGGGATACAGAAGAAAATTGTTATCCGGCTTATTTGAGGACCCTGGATATTCCACTCATCCATTTTCTTAACCACCTATCCAATTCAAAAGCCACGAGGGGGTTGGAGCTTACGCAGACTATCATGGGGCCAAACCCCAAACAGATTCACAGGATATTCCTCCTGAGAATTGACACAGTTTTCAAACATTGCTATATAACGTTTCACCTCAAGTATTCTTTAAAATGCCCGTATGTGGCTTAATAACAGGTTCATTTTTTGTGAGTCTACTATAATATGTGCATGTTTCAATGTGAGGAAAAACATTGCTGCACCTCTTTTTTTTTTAAATTTTTTAAAAATTTGTAATCTTTTCCTGAAATGCTCAGTTTTAGCTGTTGTGCCCTTTTGATCTCCCTCTGCTCTCCATGAGCGCACCAACAAAATTAGGTGTTAGTTAGCTTCTACAAGGTCTACAAATGTGGTTGTAGAGCACGTGGCTGACAAAATCCTCGAGTTCATTCCAGTTTGAACTCAAATCAGACCCAGATAAAGAAGAGAATCCTGCATTCATCCTTACATTATAGATTTTACAGAGATTTCATTCAATACTGTTTCTGAAATTACTTATTGTGGCCTTCAAATCTGTATTTCTTTGTGTTTATGTTGTTTAAAAAAGTATCAACAAATTTCATGTGACCTGGTTGAGAAGCAAAATTTAAATCAAATGTTCTTCTTCTTGTTTTTAACATGTAACATCAACGAATAATAACAAAAAAGCTAAAAGGTTCCACAATTTGTAGTTGGCCCTAAAAATTACAACTTTAACTCACCTCTGACGTGTGGGAAAGGGATTCAAATTAGTGTTGGGTTGTGGCTGAGACTCTGGGCTGAGACGTAAAGTTGAGGAAATCGCTCTGTCAAATCATCTAAGGCTCTTGGAAAAAAGCTGAACTGGACTCTTCATCTCTCATCTGAGAAGCTTCAGTTCTACAACCAAATGGTGGAGAATCCCAGGCATAAAAACCTGGTATAAATAGAAGTTCAGTCACTGTCCCTCCAAGCTCCTTAGAATACCATGAGAACCCACAGACTCTGTCAAGTAACTAAAAATGATGGGCAGTGAGGAAGCTTCTTTTTTGAGGGTATCTCAAAGTAACTGCAAGTTAGAATGCAGATGTGTGAGGCAGTGATGAGGCTAACTCTGTTTGGGAAAACCACAAAACATGTCACATGGGTGCTTTAAACTTCAGGCGTCAGGGTTGTATAAGGTTCTACATATGTATAGGTCACAATGCAAAATGCACTCCAGAAATGTGCTCCTAATTTAAATACTTTGGAACGTTGGAAGAAGACATGGTTTAAGGTTGAAATTAATCCCAGAGCAGAATAGCTCAATGTGTTTCTAATTACTCTAAAAAACTTCTATTGTTACAGTTGAAGGGGAAGACTTTCATTGGGCCAATTTTATGACATAATAATAGGCAGCTTAAGGAATATTACGCTTCAGAAGACAGAGAGGGCAGGGCTCCTCGGCAGTGCTTTCAGGTGCCAAATACGTTATCCTCCACAGGGCCAATATGGGACACAGAAGATAAAACCATTTAATATATTGTACATCTGGTTCCTGTCAGGCGCTGAAAGTTGCAGTTAGTTTGTGTTTACCTTTAAACATGTTTTAAGCAGACGAATACCACAGAGACCCAGACTCTAAACACCTGGCCAAGATGACTGGATTTAAAAAGCCACCTGGCTGCAACATGATGAATATTAAGATACACGAGTCAGCACACAATAATGTGAACCAGAAAATTAAAATTAAAAATGGAATAAGGGCAGATGCAAAGTAGAAAGCCAGAAGAAGAAGATGCAAAAAAAGCAACAGGGTGCTTTGTACCAGGAAGTGAGGTGTAATCCAGAAATTATTGTCTAGATTCATCCATTAGAAGTGCCCAAACATCTCACATCTGTTTGTAATGTATCAGAGAGGATATTACAGCAGTGGAAAGTTATGGTGCAAGTCATTTCAGCTTTGGTTAATATATTGCAAGGTAAAAAGCAGGAATACTGGTGTGCACGTAACAAAGTGCCTGAGCTTGATGTTTTCTTTATTTTTGCCAGATTACCATGTGATGATTTCCAGTTGCCCAGCACGTTGCACCAATGGAATCATCTCATGCAAATGAGCGGGCATTACATGTTTTGTCACAAAGTATTGTTGCCTGTCAGCACTAGATAACACAAAAAGCACATTTAGGCCCTACCTCATCCCTCCCATTGCCAACCCAGCCAACACAGGGCTGATATAATCAACAGTGAGTCTATCCAGGTCCTAAAGTGATTACAAGTTGAGTGCAGCAAATCAAAAATGCCAAATAGGAAGGCTTGGAGGTTTAATGATGATTCCCAACAGAAGGGCTCCATCTACATAAAGAACAGCAACAAAGGTCTTGCGTTAGGAATATGCAGGCAGGAAAATACAAACCTTTCCTCTCAGTGTTGTTGGGGACCTGTGAGGTGTTGATGCCCTTGGCCATCTCCTGGTTGGCGGTTTCCTTGGTGACCACTGAGCCTTTGAGCTTACTCTTCGGGGCGTCCAGGGCTTTTAGCTTCTTGGCATGTTTGGTGCCCTTGTAGTGGGCCAGGGCCTGGCTCTGTGAGAAGAACAAATAACAGGCTGTGGGAAAGTGGCTACAAAGTCTGGATGAATTAAAATATGAAAACTAAAAGAACACAGTCAGGGTCAATGAAGCAGACTAAACATAATTAGCAGGCTCAATATCCCTTGCAGTCCAGCAAAAAGTGTTGACTTTGTTTCAGCCAATTTTAGAAAATAAGTATTAAAGCTAAATGTTTAATACACCCAGGTACCACTGACGTTCAAAGTTATTTATGTGGTTGAATAGCTACTACCTTTCCTCCACATGTGCTAGTAAAGGGAGCATTTTTGGATCAAATATTAATTTGTTGTTCCACAGCCAATGACTAGTTTATAAGGCCTGGATGTCAAATATTTTACCTATAAGAGGAATTTTGCTAAATCAGCTCATTATATCAACAATATAGTTGCTGTTGCACCTCCTGGATAGCTGCTAAAGTTGAATTTTTCTGGCTACTTCAGCTGTATCCATAAAAGTTTGCATGAAATGATCATTAAGTCTAAATATGAGGCTACTTTCTCCAACTGGGACCTGTTATGATTATTTCCAGCTCCAGATTTGTATTTGTGGAATCTACTAGAACAACTTTGCATGAGTCACAGATCAAAACAATTTTTATTTATCCTAAACGGAGCCTTGCTGCAGCCCTTTAATTCACCCTCTCTCTGAATTAAATTTCAGTTCAGTTCAATTTGTTTATAAAGCACTAAATCCCAACAGTGGTCACCTCAAAGTGCTTTATATAGCAATGTAAAGACATTACAACAATACAGAGAAATCCCCACCAATCAAACAAGCCCCTGTGAGCAAACACTTGGTGACAGGGGGAAAGAAAAACGTCAGAATAACAGGAAGAAACAAGCTCAGGGAAGGGCAGCCATCTGCCATGAGCGGCTGGGGGTGAGGGGAGGAAGACAGGAGTGAAACAAGATGTTTTAGTTCCTCTTCTCTCCCTTGGAGCCATCTTTCATTTGATTTGCTGGACTTACAAACAGAAGGTTTGAACAGCAGGTGGGTGGGGCTTCTGTGCTCACCCACACCTGTGTGCCTGATATGATCGTACTCGGGACATCCATTTTCACTAGAGTCACAATGGGGAGGAAACCTGGGCGTTTAGATCAGCTATTTATATCTAAATCCATGCATCTACATATCTACACTATATATTTTACAACAATAATAACTTGATGTTAGTGATTAAGAAATTTTTGTGACCCATGAAGTTTAATTTATGCAGTGGCCATTTGTTTTAAAGTCTGAGCACGTAATGCCACCAAGATTCACCTTCACAACAGATTCATCAAGTCGCACAGAAGGGGGACATATGCAAAGACTTTGAGCTGCCCTTGTTTACCTCTGCGCACTTTGCCTGTGGCAGGAATGAAGGTTTTAGGACGGATCCAATTGGAATAAATAAATACGCCAAGCATGCATCCCCAGAAGACACCGGTAAGCAGTTTTATTTATGCACCGCGGTGGGGATATTTACCAAAGACTGCTGGGATAGAAAGCCCTTTCCAGGTAGTATCTCTGGATTAGCATATTGTTTCTTTCTGTCCTTTTCAGTAATTAGTGTGCAGCGGTTTGGATCATTTTCAAATGAAAGAAAAACAAGAACTCGGGATCACATAACAAAGTTCTTGTAACATGCCTTTTGGGCATTCAGTATATTACCTAAAATGGTCCGCAATATAGTGTGCAGACTGTGAACTTTGGCGAATAACATGAGAAGGTGCACTAGAGTATGTGACAAGTTAATAGGATGAGACAAGTAAAGAGGTGTCATTACACTAGGTGCATAAAGTTGCCAAGAACTCATAGTTCAGTAATTTTGTTGGCAAAGGAAATTGCTGGAGTGCCTCGAACATTCCCCCTTCATCCTAGGAACCACTTTTGGATGAAGCCTCACTTTTTCAAAGAGCATGTGCATCTTGTTCTGGCAAGAAACCATTCATTTTAGCCCGCATTCATCACCCTCCAGGTATCAAAGACATAAGTTACCGTTTGTCATGAGACACAGCTGATATGGATGGGTGTTTAATGCAACCACAGAAATAATTCATCTTTCATTAAAGCAATGAAGTGGAAGAATTGCCTGAACTCCGAGTCTGGCACATGCATGATTAAAACTAGAATGGAAATCATTTGTTTCCCTTTCAGGTGCTCTGCGAGGGGTGAAAACACATCAAACAAACCAGCGTTGCAGGGTTTCTTTAGGATTTAGAGAGGCTGCTGGAAACCGAAAGGTCACAGTTTAAATTCCAGTGTATCCATCAACAGCCGTGAACAATTCAGCCCCCTTGTGCATCATAAGTAAACCTCAATAAAAGTGCTGGCAAAATAAAATGGAAACTCTAAGCTTTGTTTTGCCGTGACATTAGGCTGGCATGTTGCCTGATTGTTTTGTCTACATAGAGCCTGAATAAGGTTCAGAGTCACGATGGGAAAAGTTATGACGAGAACTTTTCTGTGAAAGGTGTGCAACCATAATAATGGAAAAACCACAGCAGTAAAGGGTCAAAACACAAAGACACATCACAGTACAACTACTTTAACCTGTGTTTACACATTACACACGCTTTTCTTTTCTAAATATGTATATTTAGAAAGTACTCTTCTTATTAAATCCCTTGTTGACCCTATTAAGGGCAGCTTGAGTAGCTAATTCAATAGCTAACTGAAAAGCCATCGCATTGTATTTGTATAAAAGATCTTAATTTTATTTAGTTTTGGTTTACTCTCAGACCTCAAATTAGTTTCATTTCCAGTTTCATTTTTACTCCACTGTAAAATTCCCATTTAACTTTAAATGGTGCGTCTAAACTCTAAAGCCCAATTATCTCCTTTATTTGTTAGTGCAGTCTAAAATGTCGGTCCAGGTGACCAGAAATGTGATTTAAGATAAATGTTAATGCTCTCTGCGGCTACTAGATTTGTAGCCTAAATAAGAAACCAGTTGATAATATTTTAGAAACTTTAGAACAGTTTTAAAATTCCCTTTGTGAGGAAAACAGACAAAAACATAACCTACATCTCAAAGATACTATAAATGTTCTTTTCATTCCCTTTTTGTGTTATATTAATTCTACTTTGATTATCTGTATGTCTATGCATTTAAAGCAATTTTAAATAAATCTTGTGAAGTAACTGTTATTTCAGCTACTGCAGTTTTTCAGTCATGTATGGGACATTTAAAAAGTTCAGCTGATTCAATTAAACATTTGTACAGAAGTTGGGAAATTCAAAGGAAAATAACCAGAATCCTTATACTGGCCACTGTCTCGCTGAAGAAGATTAGTTGGTTTTGACTTCACATTTCAATTAATTTAATATCATTTAAATAAGACTGACCATTTCTTCCATAAACAGAAAAGCTGTTTTTGGTTATTCAGAGCAGATGAAACTTTAAATTCAGGGGAAAGTTCACAATCCAACATTAATGATTAATGTAATATTCAAATAAAATTATCTCCAAAGCCCAAAACTGATGCAATGGAGAGTAAATCTATTCATTGTATTTTTTTCATATGTAGATTTCTTTTTTAATGGAGATGGAACCATCTACCACTTTTATATGTAGTATTAAGTTTATACACCATTTTTAGCCTGCCATAAATCTTTATGATTTACACAGTGTGTATACAAACCTTTCTAGCCAGTAGTATCATGACGGTGCACGCTATGGAACTCAGAAAGTTTGTAGTGATGTTGTTTCAGGGGATTTTAAGTTCTTATTTTGAAAAGAGCTGAGTCTCTTACACAGTGCATGCAACCAGAAACCCACCCATTCACATTCCTGTGGATGAGTTAAGACCCCAGTAAATGACTCCAAGTCACAACAAAGAAGCACCAGTCATTGTTTTAACCCATAACAGCCAGTGTGCGGGCCTCAGTCTGATGGGGAGCAAGGGCATGTCTCACAGCAAGAAGCCGCTCCCAAGTCTGATTCATAGTGTGACTCAAATGTGTTGCGACTTACGTCAAAACCAAATGAAAATAAACACATTCTTAAAACACATTTTCATCTGGTACCAGCCTGCAGCCAACACCTGGTTGCTGTTGAGTTATTATTAGATTTCCCTCAATAAAGTTAAATCCAACTCGATGGTTCCTGTTGCTGTAGGGTAGGGTCATAAATTTTTAAGGATTAAACTGATTTGTGAATAAATGTTTAATCCAAAGTAAAATATCTGTATGACATTCTTATGTATTATTTACTGTAATACATGTACAGGTCATCAGTAACTTTAACTACTGAAGTTAAACTTTTATTTTTGTAATAAAAAATAGGTTTATGTTAATAAATTATTCTAATACATCAGTAAATTGTGTTTCACTATTGTAGCTTGTAACTATGAAGCCGTTTTTTTAAGACTAAAATAATGACTTTTTCCTTAGACACCAACTCATGTCAACCTCGGCCCTCATGATGAACAAAATGTGGCTGTTATTACTGGTCTTAATCAGGCAAAGCAAGATCAATGAAAAACAATGACACCCAGGATTATTAATATATATATGAGGGAGTCTCTTTCCAGTCATTATATATGACATACATGAAGAAACTGTCCAAAACTGTGCAGATGCTGAGCGTGCCTTAATAAAGAGTTGAGTTGTCCCAATCAAGATGTCCAACAAGCAATCCAAAATAAATCCCTTTTTTCTTCCCAACTCTTAGAACAACTCCTGAAGCTTCTTCATTTGTTTGCTAAGCGGAAGAAGCTGCTTCATGTGTTTCCTCACCAAATCCTGGGCAGCTGCAGTTCTTGATTTCACTCCCAATGGTGCTGCAGCCAACACCATGAAGAACACTAAGAGCAGGTCCAGGAAGAACAGAGCCAGCAGGCAATGATTCTCTTGAATCACTCCACACCAGCCCAGGAGCCAAAAATCAGAGTCACGGCACCAATAAATAACTCAAGGTTTATGGTGGGGGTTCTGGGGTTGGTTTTTTTTTTTTTTGTTGTTGCTTTTTTTGGTTTGAGAGATTCTTT